CTTTTCACCTGGATTTCGCGGTTCTTGACGACAATATACTTCGAAACAGTGATGTACGAATAATACAAGTAGTGTGGTTGCTTGGAACAGTAAAAGTGATCATTTCACAATAAGTAAGACTATAATAATTTCGTGCTAGACAAAGTCTCGGGGCGGTGCTGGTGCCGGTTCATTCTATTCACAACGAGCATTTTGTTATATTAAATAAATCAAGGCTAACTTCCATAAATGCCAGCTCACTTCTACGTAAATCTTGCCTTTGATCTAACTACATGTAGTGTGCACCTGCTTGGGATATTGATGAAATAATGAACGATAAATGCCCCTGGCATAGCATTTTTTTTTTTTTAAAATTAAACGGAGAAGTACGAAGGCAGTGCAGCGAATTGGGATCCGGTGTGTTATCGGCATGAAACGCTTTACGTGTTCGCGTTGCTTGATACTCTGGCGCTAGCCTCTGCTGTCGGAATACTGCTGGTTATTCCGAGCGATAATTGCCCATTATTTATTCTAAGAAGCTGAAAAGGTTTGACGTTTTCCCAGTCAATGATGACCATTTGTGTTTAGACAATAATTGCCACCCATATTGGCAATTGAATACAGCATCAAGAATTGATGCTATATTTCGTCTCTTGTAGTGTACGCAGCAATAATGCACTGCTTGAGTACGACTGGGCACGACCTCGTTGGGTCGTGATAAACACGATTGCTCTGACCAGAAAATGCGTAGTGCTATATTTCAGATAAGCTCACGAATCCACCTTACCGCACTCCTGTCATTCCACCATCTTCGTTCAGCCCCACATAGCCACTCTCACATTTCTGTGGCAATGTATGAAGGAATGATGCGGACTCTGATTTTCAGCAAGCGACTATTGTGTACCGGGGAATAAAAGCACTCTGTAACAGTGTATTAGCAAACGAGAATAGCTGTAGTGAGTTGTTGACGATAACCTACTTAATGTTACACCCTGAGCGCGTAGATTAACTTGCACTTTGTCTGACGAACTGCATAAGCCTCTGCAGCTGAGCATAAAAATCATCCAGTGACACCGGCGTTTGAGGCGAGCGGGAAAACGCAGGTCTCACACCTTGCGTTTTAATGTGTTTAACGACAGCATTCGGCGCCATCAAGTGGATCGCCGAAATTGCCACTACGTCGGCATCGCTGGAGCAGAGCGCCACCACTT